GAATGTTACTGAGAAATGTGAATGAAATGATGAGAATTCTCAGGATTGAAAGAAATTTTAAGCAGGGTTCCTGTAATCACAGCACTTGTAAGGCTGAGTCAGGAGGACTTCTGTTAGTTCAAGGCCATCCTATTCTACATAGTAAGCTCCAGGTCAGCCTGCATTATACTGTTAGACTCTGTCTCAAAACACAAACTTAAGGAAAAAAGAAAGCAATTTTTTTTTAGTCTACTCAATACTTTTTTTTTTTTTTTTTTTTTTGGTTTTTCGAGACAGGGTTTCTCTGTGGCTTTGGAGGCTGTCCTGGAAATCGCTTGGTAGTCCAGGCTGGTCTCGAACTTACAGAGATCCGCCTGCCTCTGCCTCCCGAGTGCTGGGATTAAAGGCGTGTGCCACCAACGCACGGCTTACTCAATACTTTTGCAAGAATTTTGAAATGCTTTTTTCAGCTACTGGGTTTGTAAAAATGCAAGGCATTGCTAAGGATTTAATTTTCTCTATTGGTGTAAAGTTATGGTTCACTAATATTCCAAGTTTGAGGCTGGCATGAGAAGTGGGGTAAGAAAAACAATTGCCCTGTATAGTCACTTTGAAACACTATTTGAAGATACTGAAGGTTTCAGAACAACAGTCTAAATTCCAGCACTGTTTGGGGGAATCTGTTTCTTAGAGATTCTTCTCTAAATAGTATTTCGCTATTAGGACAGGAAGTCTACTAGGTAATTCTTCAAGGGTGTCAGGCAGCCATTGTGTTCTCCAGCCATTCATCTTATTATCGTCCCTGACGCTATATTTCTGCTTGTTGCTCCAGAATGTCATAGGAAGCACCTGCTATAAAAGCAGCTGCTGAAAGAGCATGGAGGAAATACCTAAAATGTCAACGATAAGCATTATAGAAACATCAATCTTACCATCCCTTAAGGTCCACTGCACTCTCTAACTAGAAGTCAAACCATTGTTATCCTCACGGACAATAGAGTGTCTTCTGAACCTCTGTCCTTATAGGTGTGCCAGTCAGCATGTCTGTTCAGACGCGAATATTAGCTTGCTTTTGATGTCTACTACTTCAGAGTATTTGCCATAATTAAGTGTATTTTAGAAAACTCACAAGGGCTTATTTTCATAAAACACTTTAAGTCCCACACCAAAAACACTCGGCGAGCTCACCAAGTTCCTTTTTCTTATAAGTACTATTTTAGTTACATGAAAAATGTCAGTATTTAGCTATCTCTTTGGAACTTAGGTAACATTATACAACTCATTAACAAAGCTATGCTGAGTAAGCATTTAGTAAGTCACAGATAAGATATATTTCCTCTTGTGCATTGGAGTCACACTTGTCACATGTGTAACTCCTGGTGCAATGCCCAGGTCAGCACTGCTTGCTATTACATGGGCCACTTCCATGTCCCCAGGACAGCACATGTGAGATTTCTGATAAGCAGGCATTCGCTGTGTGCCCTAAACTTCTGAGCTTTATATATGTCACATCTTCTTCCTGGAATATTGTCTCTCTCACTCCCCTCCTTTGCCTGAGCCCTCACTGTTCAGGGCTCTCTGTTCAGACATCTTCCTTCAAAGGCAGCTTTTCCAGATAAGTGCTCCTAAGATTCCTGCATAAATTTAGGGTGGTATTCCTCCATGCTCTATGGGCTTGCCTCCTTCAAACACTGATCACAATGCTTTAGCCAGATGGTGTGTTCGTCTTTGCCACCGGTGGTTCCCTGATGGACATACTCATTTATTTTGTGATTTCTTGCATGTAATATGCTGTCTAGCACAGTGATAAGCTATTTTAATTTAAAAAATAATCAGAACAAATGATAAATTATAAATTGATGAATAAACAGTCTATTATCTGAGATGACAAACACAGGAAGCAAAACAGGCCAACTGTGGAGCCAGGGATGGTTCAGTGGGTAAAAATGCTTACTGTGCAAACTTGTTGACCTGAGTTTGATCCCCAGAACTTACATTAAAAGCCAGAAGAAGTGATGGGCTTCTGTAATCTCAGCACTCCTATAGCAACATAGGAGGTGGAGAGAAGAGAAAGGGCTAGGATCGCAGAAGAAACAATAGGAGATTGCTTTAAAACATGGTAGAAGAGCCAACTCTTGAAAACAAGTTTTCTGACTTCCTTGTGTTCCCTCTCTCTGGCTCTGTCTCTCTCACCACATCAAACAAGTTAGAAGACAATCAGGCCAAGTATGAAGTTTCATTTTCAATGAGAACTTATGTGTTCAAAAGTCATGCTGTAATGTTGAACTTGGGGGTCAGGTTCAGCCACCAGTTCTTAATATGCCAATTAAAAGAGCCAAATTAATTGTGGAAACCAGATAAAGGACATTTATGCAATGTGCCCACATTGGGAAGAGGTACAAAGAGACCCAGAGAATCTTCAAGTCCCTTGGAGGTCCTGAAGTGAGAGAGTTCAGAAGGCCAAGCATAAACACATCTAAGTAGTTCTGGTCAAGGTGTGGTCCCACCCACCACTGTCTGACAAGTTGTTAGAGTCTCTTTCCAGGAGAGAAGTTCCTCTTTCCTTCTCCAAGCATGAGATTGCTGGAGGAATTCCTGTTTCTTTGGGGTCCATAGTTCCCATTGTCTGATGGTCAGTTTGAGAAACAAGTGTCTTTGTGGAGAAAATACTGCTCATATACATATGTGGGAAATAGTTTCAAATATTCGGGTAACCAGATACACACATTTATGACTTAGCAATGTACGGACAGCAACAGCTACTGAAAATAATAAAATATGCCTAAAAATTACAGAGATGATGATTTTTAGGGCAGTGAAACTCTTCTGTATGTCACAATAGTGCTAGAAATATTTCATGGTGCATTTGTTCAAATATGTCTATACAGAGCAGCAGGAGAGGACCCCAATGCAAACTACTGACTGCTTGAAAAAGTCAAGTGTGGGTTTATCAATTATAATTGTTGGGTCTTAGAAAAGATCTCCCCTGTCCCCATATGCTGCTCTGGATGTAGATCAAAAAATGAAGAAAAGGGCTTTCCCAGTTCAGTTTTCTAACCAAACAAATATCAGGTCCATCAGTGAACACATGACTTTCCATGTTTATAGTCTCACTACCTAAGGAAGATCTAACCTATGTCACAGAAGGAACAGTGAGCATCAACACCACACCCAGAATCTAGAAGAATACTGTCCCTGACTGTATTCAGTCTCCTACTATGAAGATAAGATAGCCCCAGTCATCTGGCCTGTCTGTGAGTTTCATGCATCACATGGCTTTGACATTTGTGTTTGTGGTAATAAGTGTGCAAGTGTGGCCTCTTGCATCTACTGCCAATTTGTTTTAGGAGCTGCAACCATGAAACCTCTGAGGAAAGTCTGGTCTTCCCTACAATGCCAGGGTACCACTCTGGTGAAGGAGATGGCTAGGAGGGAGGTCATGCACTGTGTAAGTGCAGTGGATATATAGTAAGCATCTATATACTTCATTCCATTTTGCCACAAACCGAAAGCTGTTTGAAAAAGGTCTACTATATATTTTAAAATAACTTTATTCAAAAAGACTCTAATAGTATAGCAGTAATAAAAGAAATGCTATAACATTTTTTAAAAGTTGCCAATCTTTGAATAAGAAAGTTCTTAGAAGATCTTCTGGGGCCTGGCATATGGCTCAAGGGGTAAAGGCCCTTGCTGCCAAGTCTGACAGCCTACATTTGATTCTCAGAACCCCCCTTCTAGAAGGAGAGAATTGACTCCCTTAGGTTTTCTCTGATCTCCACACATGTGCTGTGCCCTCTGCTCCCACACAAAACAAATAAAGGTTAAAAAAAAGATATTTTGGAAATGCTGTTTGAAGAATCCTTTTTGAAAGAATCATATAAAAACACAAAACTTAATCTTTAAGCAAGCTTCAGAGTGTTTTCATTGATTTCAACGAGAGCTAAGAGGGAAGCAACATAGCATCAGAGTGGGCTTGAAGAGGAAACACAACAGTTAGAGGCTAAACAAGTATGGCCATGGCATATACTCTATGCACAATGTCTACTCTTAGAGGTATCCACAGAGAAATATATTTTATATTCAAACAGCATCCTCTACACTTGTCTGAAACTTGAAACTTTTAACCCTAGCACTTGTTATCATGTCTCACAACTATTTCATGGCAGGTTACCAGACTTTGAAGGGGGGGGGCATTAGATTAACAGTTTATTACATCAAAGAGATAATCTAAACTGTTAGACACTCTTACAGATTTCTTATATCCCCTCTGTACAGTATGAAATCAGCAACACTAAATGTTATACTGAAACAGGGAAAGGTATGACACGGCACTTTCAAGCATCAAACATGCTAACGAGGACCTTGGTAGAATTTAGCCCTGGCTTTGCTGTTAGCTAATAGTGTGATTCTGAAAAAGGGTCATTTAAAACCCAACCTTCATATCCAAATGGGGACATACTAGCCCCCTCTACCCACTGTATATATTTTGAAAACCAGGTAAACAAGATCAAAGCCAAGAAAATATTTTCATGAACAATGTAATATTATAAAATCATAAAATGTAGTATAAAAGTTAAGAAAATGGTACACTATTATGAAAACAGAGTACCCATTCTCAGAGCTGTATTAAATGCTATTGTGATTTGTTGTATGACTAGATTACTGTCTCAAAATTAATTTTCACTCAGTCATCACGTCCTTACATGTAGCATCAAACTTTTTTCAGGAAACATGTCAGAAGTAAGAAAACCAGACAATGCTGAACAAAGGAAGAGATATATTGTAAAATCAATCATGAGAAGTGCCTTCTCATTCTGAGCTCCACTGTGAACCCATCGTGGCAGTTCCAAGCCCTGGGAATAAAGATAGTAGGGCTCTATATTCTGAGTCCTTCATTAAACTATTGATCTCTTACACATTATCCATAATGTTCCAGCAGCTCAGTCTGTCACCTGGTGAAGTGCTGGTCTCTTACTCCCTTCAATAACTTCATGGAGAGGAAGTCACAATGATTTATTTACCTGACATTTTCCAGTCCGGATGTCATACAGGGCCACTGAGCCATGGCGTGCTCCAACTGCAATTCTGTGACTCCGTTCATAATAGCTGACCATGTAGAACCTGAATTGAACATTTTCACAATAACAAAAACAAAAAGCCAGGTGAGATTGCCTGCACAAAAAACAGTACTGTCAAAGATTAAAGCCAACATGACACATGTGCGCACACATATATAAAATATATACATGTATGTTTATAAAGCTTTAATATGTTTATATCTCCTTTATTTCTAATCAACATATGGAGATTAAAAATGTTTCCTTTTAGTAATGAGTACTTTTGAAAAATCAACTAAAATGGAAGTCATGGAGAACACCAGCCTGCTGATGAATTATCAGCCAGCTCTAGTAGATCACATCTATAAACCCAGCACTCGGAAGGCTGAGGCAAGAAGATTGATGCATGTTTGGGTCAGCGTGGACTACACTGGAAGTTCCAGGCTAGCAAGAACTTTAAGACCATGTCTATAAAAATTATTTTAGGTAGCAAACAATTTTATAATCATAAATACACTTGAAATTTCTAGGCATAAATGGCCAAAGGCAAAAAAATAAATATGAAAATCCAGTTTTTATGAAAACGTATGTAAACATTTTTATTTGAGCAGAAGCGAGAAAGGTTTTGAAAGACTCACATATTCAATATAATTATGCTCATATCTTGTTACCTAACTAATGGAATATACATTTCCAAAGAATAACAATAAGCCACATGAATAGCATGTTTCCTGGATTCTCATCATTATTTTAAAATAAATTTCTGAAAATTTCCAAAATCGTCTACATTTACTAGATTTACCAGCATATTAGGTTTTTTTGTCCCACTGAATAAAAGCAAATTTTGTGTAGATGGCATGAAGGTTTTCAGGAGTGGATTAGGTATTTGAATTTCAGATATAAGCCCTGGCATACTGATTTCAAGTCCATATGGTTGGCATCTATGGGTGAGGGTAGTACTGGAAGGGTAAATCAGGTCTCATTTTTATATTCACAGACTTTTGGTTTTTCTTTTTCTTTTTCTTTTTTTTTTGGTTTTTCAAGACAGGGTTTCTCTGTGGCTTTGGAACTCACTTTGTATATATTCACAGACTTTTAAGTATACGTCTCATTTCACATGGTTTCAGTGAGCTATTTAGGAGATGAGGGCTTCAGTAAATAGTCTATCTGAAAACATTTTGCCAATCACATTATTTCCTGTGCCCTCCTTTGCTCCCATAAACTTTCTGTGTTGGTTAATTTTTGTATCAATTTGGAAGAACTCTCAGTCAAGAAAATGCTTCCATAAGATTGGCCTGTAGGCAAGCCTATAGAGCATTTTCTTGGTTACTGATTGATAAGGAAGGGACGAGGCCACCCTGGATGCTAGCATCCTTTAGCATCTGATCCTAAGTTGCATAAGAAAGCCAGGGGGACCCTTTTAATATAAAGTAGAGTGCAATAAACTTCCTTGCACTGCTTAGTTGCCATCAGCTTTATACAAACAGACTCGCTTGGGAAAAGAGACCCCCAATTGAGGAACTGCATCCATTGGCTTGCCCTTTGGGGTATTTCCTGGATTAGATTGATATGGGAGGGACCAGCTCACTGCAGGCGGTGCCACCTGGATGCAAGTGATCCCAAGTTGTATAAGAAAAGCTGAGTAAGCCATGGAGCAGTAAGCAGCATCCTTCTGTGCTCTTTACTTCAGTTCCTTTCCTCAAGTGTCTGCCTTGACTTCCCCGATGATGGGCTACAAGCTGTAAGGGGAAATAAATCCTTTCCTCCCCAGGTTTTATCACAGCCACACAAAACCCAATGTTTATTCTTCTTCAAGGCAGACAAAACAGAGAAAAACTCCAATGTATTTTTGAGGTAAGATACAGGACAACTCTGTAATTGTAGGAAAAAGAGGTTAAGGGAGACAAATTTGAAAGTTATCAGCAGCTTTGTGGAAGGGTAGGGCTTCATTTTTGATAACATGGAAGTCAGACAATACTTGCAAATGCTCTGCTAACCACAGTGTTCACAGAAAGTAGTATATTATTCTCCTTCAATAAAGAATGGAAATCTATACTTAAAAATCTAATGTTCTTATAAATGAAAATTAATGTACTTTAGAAGAGTTTTAAAACAGTTGATGTTTGATATTAGTACTATATCTGTCTGAGCATTGGGTGTCATTGTAGCTATATCAGTGTTAATACTGGCATTCATCTCTGCACATATAATTTACATATCTTTACAGTAACATGAAACTTAATATTGCACACATTTTAACAAACATTTATTCATTGTAGTTAATGACTATAGAGAAATAAAATTTACAGTGGCATTTTATCTATTATTATTTTCAAAAATTTAATAGCTATACTGCCAAAATCCTACTGCAAAACAATATTATCACCTCCAAAATAACATTTTTCAAAACAAAACGCATTTGTGATGACAGAATCTTAAGCTAAAAGTTTTGTTACATTACCTAATCTTTATGCTTTGGATATCAACCCCATCCTTCTATATCATCTACAAACACCATTATTTATTGGATAAAAAAGATTAAATCTATTCTTGGTATCAAATCTTTGGTCTGCCTGAAAGGACCATATATTACAGTTCTAGCATTTTTCATTCTTTGTAATTTACTACTTTACTAACACTTCTAAAAAAAAAAAACACCTTAAAGATTTCTGGGCAATGACAGTCTCATGGCCTGGTTTTGGCTCAGAGTTTTGTATTAAAATTCCCTTTCTGGTTCTTGTAATACTAAAAATTATTCTCACATATGTTAGTCTGCTGCTGCAGGAAGTCACCAAATGCTGAGGCCTCTGGGGTTCCCCATGCACTAGAGTACTTTCTTCTGGAAGCAATTCTGACAGTCCTAGTGATGGTGAGATATGCTTCATGTGTCCTCACCTCTGATGGCATCAAGAGGTTAAGGCAAGAGTCCATTAAAGTTTTTAATATCGTTCTTATCTTCACCCAGTCACCAGAAAAGTTCCAAGTTTTTCTAGAACCTTGGAATCTCTGTGTTCAAGTCACTGTGATGGTTACAAGACACTGAGTTGGCAATTGTGTCAAGTTGACAGAGCTACCACACCCAGGTTAGTACTTATCATCTACCTGGCATCAAAGGTAACTGTCCAATCAGAGCATGCACTAGCAAGAGGAAGGAACTGGGTATTGATGGAAAAGGTGTTTGTTGCTAGGGTCAAGGTGGTTATTATCTGAAATGTCTGAAGACTCGGGCTCCGGACTTCAGTTATTGTCCACATGCAGCTTATGATTCTTGTCAACTATGAATTACATCACACCATTTTTTGTTCACAGTTGTCCTTCAAAGCCTTGACATACTGGGGCCTCACCTTGGGTTCCTTTTGCTTATTCCATTCTAGGAATGGTCATCCCCTTGCACACTCTTGGCTATGCTCACAGTGCTCCCATTTTAAAGTCTTGCTGCTCCTAGTTCCTGGAAAATCTCAATGGTCCACTATCCCAGCTGCTCATGCGCTCACTTCACTAAGGCCCCATTCTAGGTTATCTTCATAAAGAATGTCTTCAGGAACCACCTTGTTTGCTACAGTAGCCCTTTCCTGTTGCTCTTTAACACGATATCCTATTTTTAAACTTTATTTATCACCTCTGAAATATTTAACAGTGATTTTTTTGCTTTTTAATGGATTAAAAGTTGCTTGTTCCTCCGTCAGAGACTGCTTTTCACTGGGGCTTAAATACGGCACAAGCAAGCAAGCTGCAATAGTGAGAAGTTTAATGCAGTTAAGATCTATCTACACACAATGCTTATCCTTTAATGAGCAGTATGCAAACTGTGGTAAATGGTAATTTTTAAGATGAATTAATTTTCCATAGGGTCTAAAATAACAATTTAGGTCAACATAAGGGAAATAAAAATTGCCACCAAAAGTCAAGCAGAAATTGAGAATTATGCCTACTGACTAGTGATCCTTTACAATTTTTTTTGATGAGGATAAACAATGGCAGATTTATAATGTTATCTGCTAAGGTCCTGAAGCCTAGGTACCTTGGCAGAAAAACTGACAGTTATAGCTTAGCCATCTGTTGAGGCTAGAAATAACTGCATAGGCTGAAATTTTCAAAGATGAATATAAGTAGTCTAGATGATGACATGTACAATGAAATGTATTTTTCATTTTCCTAGGGAAAAAATGATTCTAAGAATTTGTAAAATGCTAATACTACTACATACTAATTTCAGTGAATGTAATATTGTCATACAAGACATAATTAAAATTCAGTATTAAATAGTGAAACAGGCTTTTGGGGAGTAATGGAACAATTCAGTTCTCCAAAGCTGCATTTGTGAATTCAGCTATTCAGGAGCAACTCACAATGGGGTATACCCACACCACAGGGGTAGCCTGTGATCTAAAACATAATGTGAACTCTAGTCCAAGATCTCCCTTTGCTTGATAATTCACCTCCAAACAACTGTGGCATTTTCCATTTTATGCTTTTCTTTGAATTGATAGATTTTTATTTTTACTGAAAATGACCCTCACTGAACACAGAAGTTCACACCTGTAATTCCGGCACTCAGGAGACAGAGGATCTCAGAAAGTTTAAGAGCAGTCTTTTCTATGTAGCAAGTTCTAGGTCACTAAGGGTTACATAGTGGGAGTCTGTCTCAAAATAAAAGGAATATGGCAATAAAATGACTCCTAATGATGTATTCCTGAGTCCATGGACCAGTACCTCACCAGATAAAATTTTCTAGCAGTAGGTGGGAAAAAACACAAGAGACCCATAACTGGACAGTGTTCATAGAGTGAGGTATGGAATGGAATACCTTTATCAATACCCACCTTCTCAAGAGACTCAGGGATTTATGTGAAAGAGCAAGCAGGAATATTATAATACCAGGGGTGATGGAGAACTCCAAAGAAACAGTGACTTCCAGATTCAACAGGAGTGATACACTTTTGGATTCACAGAGAATGTGACAGTCTATACAGGTTCAAGGCAGATGGGGTCTTAGAGCTGAGATGGGAGAAGTGGACATAAGGTCCCACCCTTAACCAAGAAGTATTTCACAAATGATACCTG